TAGAATTTTAATGAACCATTGTGGAAAAGATGCATAGTTTTGAATAGCGCACATCCCCTTGAAGGTAAATTCATGGATCCATCTTAGATTCTTCTGACAGTGTCCTGGGGAGAAGCAGAGAGAGTAGCTACATTTGCTGAAGGTGGTGTGGTGGTGGCCACGACCGTTGCCCACAGAGCTAATTGTTGGAATGAGGCAAAGCATTTGAGTAGATAACCCTGAGATCAGAAGTGAGGAAAGTAAGGGCCCGAACAGCGTGGGGGCATCCAGATCTCTTGGAAACACAAGCCTTGTAAAATCCCGACAAGCACCACTGTCTATACACAGGGCATTCAGATAGTGACTTCTAAGGGGGTTCCAGCCTGTCACCGTGCTTGCTTTAGAGAAATGCATCATTAGGTTTAATAACTGCGTATTGAATGTCCCCTGGGAGGCTGACATTGTAACAATCTAAGTTTCTGTTTAACTTTGCTTTGTATAACTTTGTATAATTTTTGCTTTTTCTTCCTATAAAGGCTATGCCATTGCCAGGGATTTCATATTTATTTTCAATTGGTTTTTACAGTGTTGAAGAGGCAATTGACTCAATTCTGTACATACAGAAACTTACAAAATTATGGCTATTTTAAATATTATTCTGACTCAGGTAAAAAGGGAAGAGAAGTATTTTTCTGTTTTTTTTGGTTTTCTCTAGACTTGCTACATGTCAGAAGAGAAGCTGTCCTTGAAGAATAACAAATGGCACAGGGACTGTTTCTCTAAAGCTAGGATGATTAATAGATTTTACCTCATCTATCCCCTCATTTGACAAAGGCTGGAGACAGGTTTCATTATTACTATTTTCTAAAAGACACAAAATTCCTTAATAGGATGAATTGCTACACTGAAACCAATATCCTTGTAATTCTTTTAAATGTGTCTTAATGTATCTATCCATTTTTCTTCCACAGGCCATTTGTTTATTAAGATCCACTCTGTGAAAAGACTCACACTGCGTATTTCAAACATCAGTTAAAGAGGATTCTTCAGGTATGATGCCAGAAATCTTAATAGCCCTCCCTTTCACTTTGCCTCTGTGATTTCTGCCAAGTCCTGCCAACACCTCACCCTCTCAGCCACCTTGCCCAAGTGCGGTCTGAATAGCAAGGAGACTTCTACTTGGATATATTGTTTGGGTCAAGTTCAGAGTGTGTTCTTCTGGCTTCTTTCATCACCAAATAAAGATGGAGGGCAGAGGTCAGGGTAAACATGTCAGAGAGATAAAGGACAAATGGAGATCTTTGACTCAAAGACTCTAGCTCCTTCACTTTCTCTGACATAGAAATCATATTCATCCCACACTTCCTACTTCAGATCACTTTGGTACAACCTGACAATACAGCAGATACACAAGAACTTTTCCCACATCACACTACAAACACAGCCACCCTCTCCGGGGAACATCAGAGAAACTTCTGGGCTTCCACTTCCCTTCCATTTGTTTGAAGGATCAAGAGAACATAGCTCCATTTTCAACAAAAATTAAAAAGGAAAATCATGAAAAGAGCCAACCTCCTCTCTTTTTTTTCTCCCTTAATATATTGTTGAATCTAGGGAAGAGGAAACAGTGAGCGCCACTGATACTGAGTCCCCAGGGATGCCAAAAGGGTCACTCCCCAGCTATCACAGGAGCAGGTCTTCCTCCACTTGCAGAGGGAGTTTGGAACAGGCGTGGAAGTAACACTCAGCTCTGCTCTAATGGGCAATAAAATAAAATAAAAATGTAAAAGTTCCACAGTGCTTCAGGGAACCAGGTTGTGTTCACACCTGGGTTTGCACAGGGCTGGCAAGTTTTTAGCTTTGAGGCTTTGGAAATTTGAGAAAGGAGATTTGAAAAATCATTAGCCATGTTCCTGCTGGTCTCTGCAGGCTGGCTAAGAACTGTGTGTTCCTTAAGGGCAGGAACAAATTCCTTCCACATGTTTTTGTTTTTGTTTCTTCTTGAGGTGTTGTCAGTAGTGCCTTAGGCCAATTGACTCTGGAACTAGAAACGTGACAATATCTTGATTATTCTGCACTGTGGCTATATAAACCACACTGGGTCAGATTTTCCAGAAAACAGGACTGTCACCCTTTGAGAATTACATTTTAAAAAATGGAAATGTGTTTGGACTCCACTTAGTTAATACACATGGTAGAGATGATTAGTTTGCCTTTGATAATGCAAGCTCATGATCATGAACAGATTATTGTACTCTTGGATCACAGGTGGCCTCAGGAGCTATGGAGATGCAAAGAACTCTGCAGCCTCACTGCATGGTATTGGGGTTCTAGTCCCTTTTGTTGATCTTCTGATTTTCTAACCCTAGGTTCATTTGTCTTTCCTTTTGCCATTTCTTTCTAGCATCTGGGTCTGAGAAACTATTGCCTTCTTCAGTTTTTTTTTTTTTTTTTTGGTACCAGGGATGAACTCGGGTCCTGGCGCTTGCACAGCAGGCGATGAAACCACTGAGCTAAATCCCCTGCCCGCCTTCTTCAGTTTTAACTATTTATGCCTCACCAACTGTAACCTAGTTCAAAACTGAAAGGCAGACCTGATTCTACATACTTAGTACACTATTTAGTAAGTATGCTGTCTTGCCAACGAAGTAACAAGCATAGGTATTGTGAGAGCTGTAAAAATCTAATTGATCCTGTTTGTTATTATATGAGGAGATGAGCTTTTTATATCAAGTGGCATTTTGTTTTGTACTTAGAAAAATAGGCATATTATTATTAAAATTTGCCTTGAGTATAAAGTGAATTGGGCTCCCAAAAGGGACTTGGGTCCACCCACTTCTAAATTCTTTGCTACCTTCCTAGTTCAGGCCAATGCTCTCTGTCATAGGACATTAACATTGCCTCTTCACTGTCTCTCAGCATCATCCTCTACACTAGAGCTGGAATGAGCTTTCAAAAATGGGAATCTCATTTTTTCACTTCCTTACTTTCTTTTAAAATTTTTTCTTATTAGTATACATAATAATTGCATTAGTTTTGGGGAATTGGTACATAAGTATCAATGGCTTTCCATGTCAGCCTCATATTGCATCAGTGTTCCTCTGCTGTCATGTCTGCTACACTGTATTCTCTCCTCAGTCATGCTCCTTTATACCACAGGACCTGGAGTGCCCCTCCTGCTTCCATGGCTCCCTCTACCCTTCACTTCTCAAACTAAATGTCACTTACTGAGAGAGGCCATTGGTGACCATTCCAATTAAAGGGTATTCACTGTTATCCACTGTCTAGCACAGTTCTGTGGATAGACCTATGGAAAAGAACACAAAGTATGAAAATCTTTGTATCACATCTTAATATCTATCTTGGAAGAGACATTCAGTAAGTTGGCATACAAAATGACCTTGCCAGTTGACTTCATTCAGTTTCTTTCAATAACTACTCCAGAGCTATTAGAACAAAGAACACATGAATGACGTAGTCACAGTGGCAGAGATGGAAGTTACACATCGGCTCAACAGCATGACCTGCATTTACCAGGCCCATTGCTGAGGAGTCAATATGCTAACCTGAGGACTGATGGTTACCTGCCAATATGACACCACTGCTCAAGAAGAGTGATCAGTCGTTAAGTATAAGGCTGAGTGTTTTGAGCTCCTTTCATCCCGAAGGATCAGCCGTTCACTGAAACATGAATAGACACATACTGGGTGGTAGTTTGCCTTCGCTGCTTATAAGAACTTAGCCAGCAATACTGCACAGGGGTGGGGTTTTTGAGTGCTGGTTCTGCTAGCACGGAATCACACATAACATTGTATCATGCTGCTGCCTGCCTTGAAAGTGCAAGGTCCTGAGTTCAATCCCCGGTACCAAAAAAAAAAAAAGTAACTTTTATGGCTAGGATGTAGCTCAGTGGTACCTCACCTGCTTGGCAAGTGCAAGGTCCTGAGTTCGATCCCTGGTTCCAGAAAAAAAAATTGATTTGTCTATAACATGGTATCAAACTATGGGCTTCCCTTTACCGTAAATGAGGTGCAGAGATGGGCCCAGGGCCAAAGGATCTACTGGTTCTCTCATAGGTGGCCAGTTCCCTAGAGCTTCTTGGAGGACTCTGTAAGGGTAGGGTGCCAACCTCCGGGCATGCATTGGATCAAAGACTTTTATATAGTGCTAATTCTTCAGTAAGAAGGGTCCAGAGACCAAGGTGGAAATAGGACCCATCACTCTCAATGACACTTGGAGGGGTGGCTTTGTACTTCTTATCCCTGTAACCTGAGCTCTTCAGGGATATAAGCTCTTATCCTCAAAAAATATACACTTTCACCCAGGAACATAGAGAAAGTATCATTAAATTATAAGCTACACCTGTCACCTGGGGATTTTTGTCCTGTCTCCAAAGACTAGCAGACAAGGAGAGGAGTTGCTGTCTTGGCAGAGATAACTAGTCTGATCATTGGGAAGAAGTAGGGCTGTTTCTACTCAATGGCCCAGGGCAGAATAGTATGGAGCCTGGGAAACTCACTTGGCCTTCCTTTGGCACTTATTTGACCACCTGTGACTGCAAAAGGCACATGTCCTAGTCAGTTTGGGCTACTGTGATAAAATACCACAGACTAGGGAGCTTAAAGCACAAGCATTTGGTTGCCACGGTTCTGAAGGCTGGAGAGTCTGAGATCCAGGTTCAGGCAGGTTTGATGTCTGGTGAGGGTTAATTTCCTGGCTTCCAGACAGCTATGTTACCACAAGGCAGAGAAAGAAAAGGGGTGGTGGTGGGGAGAGATGATCTCTTCTTATAAAGAATGAATTTTTCTGAATAAGAAAGGACAGGATGAGTAAGGTGTCACTTGCCTGCAGATGGGCTGAAGTTCATTAATCTTTCCTGAAGTTACGAGAGAGGCAAAATCTGACACCCTTTTCCCCCTGGGGCTGAGGAGCCAGCCACTGGCACAGTGATATGCAGGAGTGAAGTGCTGACAACAGTACATCTTTGCAAAATTTCAGGTACTTGTAAATAATCAACTCGGTTTTTTCAACATGTCTTTATTTGCTTAAATTAACAAAATATAGGTTACAACATGATACTTTCAGGTAAGCTGCCTTTTCACTAAAGCACAAAGTAATATTCACAACTTGGTTTGCTATATACTTGGAGTTTTACTTTTTAAATAGAAAGCCAGAATTCTGTACAAAATCAACATTTGGTGTAATGTTGTCCAAAATATGCAAAGGATTTTAAATGTTAGTTCTGTTACATTTTGCTCTAGCAAAGCAGACAAAGATCATAATTCAAAACACAATGTTAGTATTTTATTAAATGCCTTCAGGGCTTAATAAATACAGTATGCACATTGAGCCTTTTCATGTGGTTAATCATATACCAATATACCTGTTACTCTTTGGGTTTATGAGAGGTTAGCTTCAGTCTCATGGCCAATGGGGAATCAAATTTTTAAAAGAAGAGAATGAAAGAGGAATTGAAAGGCAATGAGAGAGCTAATTATAGGTCCAAATATAACGGGTAAAACAAAAATATACCAGTTGGCTTGTGTGTTGGTGGTTCCAGGTGACAGTGGTCAAAGCCTGGAAAGTATTTGGTCCTGATCTATTTTCAGAGTTTCACAATGTAATGAAGATGGTGGCCTTGGATGCTGGTAACCTTGAATGACCTTGTTCCTTCGTTCTCTGGTGAGGGCCCCAATAGATTCAGGCCCTCATTCTGGTTAATCAGCTTATCAGGCAAGGCGGGCAACCATTCACTTAGCTCTGTCCTCACACACAGGGTGCTCATGTAATTTATTACACAAACTGTGATACTTTTGAGAGTTAAGGCAGCACTAGTATTAATTACCCTAAAAGACCACAGATGTAAACAAGGGTTGGCCCAGGCAAACCGCCAGGTTGGTTAGTCAATGTATAAAACTAAGGTTTTATCCTTGGGCCCCAGAAATTCAGTGCTAACCCAGTCCCCAGGTTAGAGCTCATTAAGTCTCTCATATCCAGAGTTAAAAACTAAACACAGGCCTCAGAGCACACTGCTCAATAAAATTTTTGTTACTTTCCCTAGACCTCTTCTTTCTCTAAATGAAATTCTACTAAGAATGCTAATACATGAAACTGACAAAATGAGCCACTTTGACTGGAGCAGGCATGAAAGCTGTGTTTCTCCCTCCTCTAACAGCTCTGCAGGGGCAGAACAGGGCTCTCTGGCCCCTCAAAACACAACTGGAAAAACCACCATTTTGGACCATGCTCTCTCCAACTCCACATTAACTGGTTCCTCAAACACTCTTTCAGGATTTGTTTTGATTGGAAAGGACTGGACCCTACCTCTCTATGTTTTCCTGGCTCCTATTCCAGCCAGGAATTTTGCAGCACATGTGGTCAGGCACAGCACATAGTAGGTCCTCAATGGGTGGCTGCTGAACGAATACACATCCAACAGACCCCTGAGAGCTGGTGGCCTCTTCAAAAAGCACTCTGCCAGCTTCCTGGCCATCATCATCAAAGACGCCTATGAGCTATATTCACAGTGAGTGGAACATGGCCCTCTGAGCACTTGGAACCGTTCTTGGCTCAGAGTTGTACTTACAGCGGCAGAAGCCCACAATGTTCTCTCCATCCTCTCCTTTGCAGGTGCTCTGACCTCAGACCGTAGGTGGCAGTGGGAAATCTAAGCAGCTGTAGCATTCCATGGTAGCACTGATGCTGAAAGAAGGGATTTCAGGATGGTGGCAGGAGAAATGGTCCGTGGCTGCCAAAGCACACTGGTGAATGAGGAAGGCAAGATGGGGCTGATGGGGAGGCACCAATGTTGAGAGGAAAAGCCAGCATCCAGCCTATGGAAATGGACCTGGTCTTCCAACGAAATGTCCTGGCAAGTGTGGGATGAGGGGAAGCAGAGTAATCAGCAGTACCTTGCTCTGCAAGTAGGGACTGAAAGCCTCAGCAAGAGGCAGGGTTTATATAAATGCAGACACAATCCTGTCAGTTGTCACCGTCCCTTGTAGGCAGCCTCCATTAGTATCACTTTACACAGTGTCAGCGCCTAAGTAAGGCCACCTGCAGGGCCCAACCCACCATTTCTGTCCCCCACAATCATGGGTCCAGCATCTGGGCAGGAAAAGTGAGTCCCCATAGGGCCAGTTATGCATCATTCAGCATATGAAGTGGTCAGGAACATCATAGGCATTGTGTTCTAGTCCACAAAGTGTGTATCTGTACAGTGGTGGTGGGGGGATGTCCTGGTCAGTCTCTTACAGAGCAGGTGTGCAGGACTGAGTCAGCGTGATGATTGTCGGTCTCCTGTCCTCTACCTCAGGGCTCAGAGTCACTCTGAAGCCAGGAGCAGAAATATTTCTGGAGTCTCTGAGAGTGGGTTCCAGGAGATACAAAAATGGGTAGGTGCTTTTCGAGCCTAGTGAATCTTTTTCAATCCTGGCTGCACATATTATAGGTAACAATTTGGAAACTACCAGTGCAGGGGCTCCTTCTATACCATTAAATCAGAATCTTGGAGTAAGGCCCTGGCTGTGGTATTTTTGGAAAGGCTCCCCCGGATGATTGTAATGTGTAGCCAGCATTGAGAATATGGTCCAGGTTTTCAGCATAGTAATCAGCTGGTGATTATTCTAACACCCCCAAATAAGTCAGAGCTTGTTTCAGGGAGAATTCCTTCACCCACCCCTGAGCTCCAGCTTCACCAGTGACAGCTCTCCCTGAAGCTGCTCTCTGGGGCGTGAGGCTTCAGAGTAAAACAGCAGTGGCCTCCAGGAGGGGACTCTGCTTAGGACACAAGACTTCAGTTTGAGAAGCCAGGGCCCCCAAGCGTTGCCCAATCATCTGCAGATTGCTCCAAATGCCCCACTCATGAAAGGAGCTGAAGCAGATGAGAGAGATTCACGTAGGAAACTAAGTGTTGCTATTTCCTCTTAGTGAAAACTGTTCATCTTCTTCTTAGATTTTTATTATACTTCTGCAGTGGCTACTTGAGAATATCCTTTTCAATAGCTCACCTGTCTGTGTCATTTCCAGTATTTTTGCTTATGTAATAAAGGCTATTTCTATATATACAACTAATAATATTTTCATTTCACTGGAAAAATATAACTTTCACGAATTCAGCTAAATAGTTATTGACAAGGTAACATGTCAAGCACCATTGTTTTACAACTAGAAAAAAACCATGTATTGCATATTAATCAAAGGAAAATAGAATGTCTAAAAGCACCTCAGCTATGATGAGACATCTAGAAGAATATGCACAGTTTATTACATGGGAGGGAGATGCATAAAGTAACACTGAAGCCCCTGCATGTGGGTTTTAAGACTGAAGGGCCCAAGGAATGGCCTGAGAAGCAACTACATTAGCTAGGACGGACCCTGCTCATTTAGTCTGAGTCACTTGTAAACCCCAGTGCCCTTTGACAGTCTTCAGTGAATGGCAGTGCATGCAGAAAGCTGTACTTGCACGGCCTAGCTCTCATCTTCCAAATGTAATTTTAAAACTGTCCACTCAGATACCCAAAAGCACTGCTTGTTTTTCCATTTTCCTCTCCGGTAATTCTTTTACACTCTCATCTCTGTGCTTGAAGTCTAAGTAATCAGAAAAAGAGGAACCCTGCTGGCCGCTCTGAAAAACCCTGAGGCTGGGCGCTCCTCCCTGCGGGTCCCCTCTGTCTCCGCCTGCTCCAGGCTGCCTTCTGCCCCGTGGGTGTCCTCCGCTTGCTCTTCTTTAGTCACATCCTCCTCCTTTTCCTCCTCCTCCTCCTCCTCCTCCTCTTCCTCTTCCTCCGCCTCCTCTTCCTCCTCCTTGCCGGCTTCCCCTCGCCCCTGGAGGGTCCACTTGGCCTTGGTGGACAGATCTTGGGGCACACAGAGCTGCTGGCTCTGGGGGCACAGGCTGGGGCTATAGGGCTCCACTTCGCAGCAGTTTTCCTCCTCCTCCTCCTCTTCCTCCTCTTCGTGGCAGGGGCTGCCTCGGGCACTCTCCCCATCCGACTGGAACACAGCCCCCTTTGGCCCTCTCTTCTGTGAGAGGTCAAAAGGCTCCTCCTGCTCCAGGCTTCTCAGGCCACCCGCGGTCTGTGCCAGGGCCATTCTGCCCCTTCCCAAACCTGTGAGAGCAGAGCAAGAATTTAGGAATCCAGAAAAAGCAGTGGAGAGGGGCAGTGAGTGGGTGGGTATGTGAGGAGGGGGTGCCTAGGGCTTTTCACGTGTTCTGATTGTACACCTTAAAAATAGGTAATTCCCAGTAAGGAGGTGGACATGGGAGGCCTGTCAGTGTCTAAATCTGTATACTCCTTTTAAGGTGAATTTGGCAACAAGCAACAAAAGCTTTAAAAAGAAGCTTTGCCTTAGCAGTGACACAACTGAGAATTTAAATGATGAAAAACAGGCAGGCAGGAGCGTAGAATGTATGTGTAAGGATGCTCATCACCACATTTTTTATTACAGTGAAACTGTGAAAAAAATTTGGTATTTAAGTGTCGGTTAACACATAACAGTACATCCACACAGTGAAGTATGTATAGATGTAGAGGTGATATAGAGATCTACTAAAGATCATAAAATGTATTCTCCATACATTTGAAGTGTATATATATTTACATATATTATATATAAATATATATCAGACTCAATTCTATCTTTCTCAAAAAACATCTGGAAGGATGTGGTGGTTAAGCTTCACTGGGACAATTTAATTGGCTTGGGAGCTGCCCTAAATTAATAAAGCCTGTTTCTGGGTGTGTCTAGGTGTGCCATGGAGGCGTGGCCTTGGGGATTGATCTGGTCCCTGGCCCCTCCTCTCTGGCTCTCTTCCTCTGTTCTACTTCCTGGCTGCCAGGAGCTAAGCAGCTTTGCTCTACCACACCCTCCCTCCATGACATTCCTGCCTTGGAGCCAGGAGACGAAGGACTGAATCCTCTGAAAATGTGAGCTGAGCCAATAAAACCTCTTCTCCTTTAAGTTTTAGGTGTCAGGAAAGTTGACTGGTACAAAGGATAGATGCCAAAAATCTCAAAATGGATAAACCCTGAGGTGGCTATTACATTTTCTCTTTACTTCTCAAGTATTTCTTATTTTTCACAGTAGGCATAGATTTTACTGTAAGGAAAAAAAAGCAGCAACAGATATTTTCATATTGAAAAAAACAGATTCCACTAGGACCTGAGGAGGCCACTTCAAGATCATGGGCCCTGTCCAAGAGTATAGAGGGTACAGGGTTCCAAGAAGCTCCCAAAGCCCCTGTGTCTGACCACACATGCCCTGTACTGGGCACAGGGATTTGAGAGGGTCTCACTTTTGGTTTCAGTTTGGGGGCCTGTACCAATGGGTTTTGCAGTGGCCTAATAGACATGAAGTAGTTTTATTTCACCCCACTGTTAAGGCCTCTGACCGCAATGAGTCGACAATCAGGCTCTGAGGAAAGAGGCTGAGACTGGGAAGAGGAGAAAAAGGCAAAAAGTGGTCTGGACCGCTCAGGGTAGGAGCCTCAGGGTAGGAGCACCTCAAGGAAGGGCAGGGGCCCCTGAAGGCCAACCGCCTCCTTTCTGACATCCTCAGACAATGCAGCTGTCTCTCTGTCTTTTGCCCCAGTGGTGGAACAAACGTCACCTTCTCTGGAAAAATCCAGGCCTAGCTTGGGAAGTGGCTCAGGTAACTAGAGAGTCAATGAATAATTCAGGAAGAACACATTTTCAGGGAAAAGAAAACTTGCTTTTGCTTTTTTAACCAGAATTTTTTGAGGCTGGTGAACAAACTCCAGCCCTTGTTTGTGTTGGTTCCAGTTCTCTGTCAGCCAAGAGTCACCATAAACTCAGTGAATGTAGTGAAAAACCTGAAAGCTACAATTATTTTTTTCATGCTATGTGTACAGGCATGGATCTCAATTAAGAATCTGTGCTGATTTCACTACCTTTGTAAGCAGTAGACACAAGCAAATCACCCCTGGTTTTTGCCTAGAGTAGTGAGCACTGGCTTGATTCAGAAATCCTTGAGTTGGAATCTTAGTTCTGCCTTCAGACTTGCTGTCTGACCTGAAATAGCTTATATAACACCTTCGGATGTTGGTTTCCTCTTATATGCAGTGAAAATAATAGTCTCTTTTACGGATTTGTGGAGGTAACCAATAATGCTCCCAAAGCTCTATGCTTTGACCAGTAACAATGGTGGTCACAAAGCAGTTGAGATGATTTTGTAAATTCTACCCATGACTGTTTTATGTCTTCACACACAGACCTCCTGGAGGGCAAGGATGGCCTCATTCTCTCCAATCTGTCACTGTATCATGCTGGACAGAGGTGTGTTTACTGCCTATCAAAGGACTGGTTGGTTAGGTGAGAAGGGAGGAAGCCTGCTAATCAGTAGGCTTGGAACACGAACTTTTCACTGCTGAGGGCCCTGGGGCTGTGAAGATAAAGGAGGCAAGAACATTTCAAGTTCAGTGAAGATTCAGTGTGGGGGAGACAGAAAGCCCTACTCTGTGATTGAAAAGAAAATTTTCCTTGTGTGAACAAGGAGGGGGTCTTTGGCTGCTACAAACAAACACTTCTGCTGACAGCACAGCGGGCAGACCTGTTTTTAAAAAGGAAATCAAAACCACATGCACTTTAACAGCAATGTGATGAAGTGGCTATAATAAAGACTGTTGAGTCCGAAAGGTGTGCGTTCAAATCCTGACTCTGCCACTTTTCAGTTGAACTGTTTTGGGCAAATTAATCTCTTAAAGCCTTAGTTTCCTCATCTATAAAACAGAAACCTGAGAAGATCCTCTATCTGGGAGTGGCTGTGATGATTTAAGGAGCTAAGGCACCTGATGCAGTCTACAACAAAGAAACCAATACTGGCGCCGAGTGGCATCACCATCATGTTCCGAATTTACTCTCCATGACTTCCTTGAACTTATGGCCTTCGATATTAGCATTACATGTTTTTTAGTAAGATTTTAAGTCTGCTCCTGCTACTCCACTGTGGTCCTGAAAATTACATTCCTGTTTTTGATGAGAGTGATCCCTCAAAGCAACACCCCATAAAACTGAATTCCACTCCCGAGTGCTGCCCACTAAGCCCAGCAACGGGGGCTTCCTGGAGATGCACTACCTTGAGCGTGAAGGCCCCGCTCCATCACTCCGTGTTTGACCTTCATATGGCGAGTCAGGTTCCCCTTCAGGGTGAACTTGCTTGGGCAGTAGAGGCACTTGAAAGGTTTGCTGTCTGAGTGCAGGTGCATGTGGCCCATCAGGTTGTGCATCCGGTTGAATTCCTTCCCACACAGCTGTTGGAGACAGAGGTGAGGAGAGCACAGTCATCCTGCCAAGGATACCTGCCTCCAAGCCGAGGGACAACGTGCGGGGGACCACACCTGTTTCTACTCTGCTTGGACCTTGGTGTTTCAAACTGCTTCCAAGGAACATGCCCCCTGGAAGTCAGGGAGGGGCTCAGAGGTGGTGCAGGGAGGGGACATATGCAGGAGACAGGGGTTGGTGTTGTCCTGGGGATCTTTAAATGCAGGATAAAAATTGAAGAGCTTCTTTTGAATGCCACCTTTGCAAAGGAGGAGAGCTGATCTGAAAAAGTAGATTCTGGAACTAATTTTCTTTATTAATAAGGATATGATTACATGTTTAGTATTTATGAAGAGTCTATAACATGGAAGACATTCTAAGACTGCCAAGGAATAGCTTGATTCTCACACCAATGTTATGAGACAAAAGTTATGATCACACTCATCTAAGAGATAGGGAAACAGGGCTTAAGCTGCTCGGCCAACCCCACAGCTGGTGGGGCTGGACCTGGGATAAAAAATTCAGGCCACTGGACACCAGAGGTTATCCACCACTTCTACTGCATTCCCCCAACATGGCTCTTCTGTTAGACTGTATCAAGCAGTGTGTTTCTAAATTTTAATTTGCTAATCATTGGGATGAATTTCAAAGTTAAAAGAAACAAAGAAGCATCTAAGGAAGGGATGTGTCTTTCCTCTAGGTAGACATTTGAAGACATGAGAATACTCTCTCGGGAATACACAAAAGTCAACATATTTTATTCATTTCTTTTGTATAATTTCTCTCCACTTCCTTCCAACCACAGCAGAACCACAGCAGTGGTTCTCACACTTGTTCCAGGAGAGCAGCCCCTTCCTTTCAAAGGCACTATGTGTGGATTCTGGATTGAATTTTTATTAATGAAAGCAACATATTCTTCAGAGTTATGAGAGTTGAGCTGACTTGAAGGAATGGGCAGATTGAAAAAATGATGATTCTCTGAAGTTGGGTTGGGAGGATGCTGGGTGGTAAGAGACAGCCAGCCTGGGCTGATACATTTCTCACAGATAATCTACAGATGGGTTATGAGTGGTTGGTTCTGTATTTTTGAATAGTTCATATTTGGGGATTTTAAGTACTCATTCCCTTTTGCTTCCATACTAGCAACAGTGCCTGTGGCATCCTAGATGGGGTTGCAAGCTTAGCACCCAGAACACCACAGTCACTTGAACATGGCAACCCCAGAAAAGGATGAGGGGTTAATCTAGTTCCAACTTCCTTGAGAGAAGCAATATGTGGGATGAATACTTGTTTTCTTTTATTCTTTTGTTTTGTTTTATCCTGAACAGAGATAATTAAGATATCAATCTCCATTTTGGTAGAGTTATATTTATCAGCTTAGTATATCCATTTCTTTATTATGGCTAAAGAAATAAAGATTTGACTCTAGAAAGTCCACATTAGAGATTGTACATTTCCAGTCCCGGCTCGTTTTTAGAAAAAGTATATCTCTCTGGGTTTGTGGAATGGTTCCTGATTATTTGGAGAGATGCTGCTGGTGGCAGTTGCTGAGTGTGACCAGGACCTCTGTGAGTATAGTGTTTGTTTAAGCCGTTCTTGCTGGTAGATTGCAACACTCACAAAGGCTGTGTCTGCCCTTTTATTGTACCCCTTGCCTAGCTGATGCATCATGGGTCCTCAGTAAGAATCTGTTAAGTGGAGCATTGGTGCACACTGCAGCAGAAGAATGGATAGAAGAAAAATTCCCAAGTGGTGAATCACAAGGGACATAGGGGGAGAAGAGCTGAAGGCTGGAAGGTCAATTAGGCCACTGCACAAGTCCAGGCATGGATGAGGTCCTCTAGACCAGGCAGACGCCACTGAAAGGAAGGGATGAGTGCCTTCTGAACTTGCTCCCGGGATGGGAGAAATTCATCCTTGAGTTATATCTGTGGTTGCTGAGGTATAAAAAGCTGGACTGGCCTGAAAGGATTTTGTGCAAGGCGTGGAATTTTAGCCTACCCTTGAAGAGTCTGTAAAGTGTCCTTTGTTTTGACAAAAGGATAAAATCTCTCTCTCCCTCTTTTTTTGTGGCAGGTTCTCACTATGTAGTTCAGGCTGGCCTTGAACTCACTATGAAGCCCAGGCTGGCCTTGAACTCATGCTGATCCTCCTGCCTCAGCCTCCTGAGTGCTAGGATTAAAGACGGGTGGCACTTCATTTGTGTCAAGCTTATACCACATGCAAGTAACTGTCACTGTTGTGATAATGATCTTACCTACTGGGACCGGGGGCAGGACAGACTTTGCAAATCATGGGCCCCAAAGTCTGACCTACCACCTTGCCTGCTAAAAACTCCACATACAGAGGTGTGCGCTCATCACAACGGCTACCTCTGGGTGTCTTCTAGGTAATTCCTCAGGCTCAGGCAAGCTACCTTTTAGTGTATTTTTCTACTCTATTTTTCTGGCTCAATTCATCCAGTACTGAAATTATTTAAATATTTTAGTAATGGGGACATGATGACTTTAAATGATACTGTCCCCTACAGTCAAGACCTATGACCTCAGGGAAAGTCCACTGTGGCACATGACTGGTCAGCTACATTATCTTGTGTGGGGTTGATAAAAGAAATTGATTTTTGTGTGTTGCCAAAATTCAGTTTTACATACTAGAGTTATCCTGTGTAGTTTATTGTGGCCTGCTGTGTGCCAATGGAGAGCTTCTCCAGAGCTACAGGAGGTGTATCCACTCCAAAAGGTGTTTGGACCCCCAAATAGTGTCCCATGTAGCCTCGAGTGGAAGAGCCACCTCATTTTCTTTGCAAACAATCTCAGTATCAAGCACAGAGCCACACACATAGTGCACTTAATAATACCTAAGTACTCGAGCCGGGGATTTAGCTCAGTGGTTCCGCCACCTGCCTCGGAAGTGCAAGGTCCCAAGTTTGATACCCAGTACAAAAACAAAACAACTAAGTACTGTATTTGGTTGAAAGAATAAAACAAGTTAGAAAAATAGCATTACCCCATGCAAAATTCTATAAAGCAGCTATGACAATTCTCTTCCTTTCTCCCACTAAACCAAAACACATTAGTTTGCAAATGAAAATCCTTACTGGCAGAAGGATGGAGCCAATTAACTCTGGGTCTGGGACACCTGGGGCTCTATTCACATCTCGGGGGTAGGTATTTAGCTTCTTTCCCTCAGCCCCTGACCCTTCCAAGAAGCCCTCTAGTCCTTATCCAGAACACCTGGCCTCTTCATCTGCCTAGAAGATTATCTTCACATGACAATGACCAAGTGTGTAAAGATATTTTATGTCTCTGAAATTCACAGAGAAACCTCTCAGACTGTTGGTGAAGAGGGGCCAGAAAAAGAGGCTGGGCCAGCTAATGATAGCATCTTGAGTTCAAGTTTTAGATATAAGATCCAAGCAGAATCACTGCAGTCAGGGAGGGGAACTGGATTGGAAGGAAGAATGGCTGGGAGGGAGCTCCAAATTCTATTTTTTTCTCTGGGAGAAAGCAGCCATTTAAATTAAAGTCCTTTTAATCATGAGGTGTAAAGCCAAGAGCTTGCCCTGGTCAGAACGTGCTGGATCATCTCCTACCAAGGTCTGCAGACTTTAAAATAAATACTTTATTATATAGTTGATGGAGTGGTATAGACTCAGCTTTCATCTTTTTAAGAGGGGGTGGACCTCAAAGTTCAATTAAAAAGTGTGAAGGGCCTGGGCTCAATCTCCAGTAGAGTAGGCAGAGAAGCTGGAATGAACAGTCCAGTTCCACCAGTGCTGCTCATTAGAGAGGTAAAGCAGAGGGCATTCTGGTTGAGATGACCACTGGAAAGATGAAAGCTGAGATTTCTGAACTATCATTTAAAAACAGGCTACATGGTCATGAGGTTTTAAGATGACAGAACAGACAGACAGGTGATAGTAGGAACCCAGAATGACAGACAACTTTGTCTCCTGTACAATGTTGACAATAACCACAGTTTCTCATGAAGGATATTGGGAGGAACAAATGAGAAAAGTCATGTAAAGTACTTGGCCAATAGTAAAAGCTCAATAAATATTAGGTTATATTACTATCATTATCTAGTCTATGGTCAACTATTTAACATTCCAGAAACAGGAAGATCTTTGAAGATGAGGTTGCTGTCCTTTTCAGCAAGTTAACTGGAGGGGATATCAAAGCCAGGACCAAATAAGGAATCCAAGTAAATCCCTGCTGGCTGACCTGTGGCCTAATAAAAATGCAAGCAGTGTGCAGGCCTATCCTGGGAACTGTGCAAGGAAAGTGAAGATTCATCCTAGGTGGCAGGTTTCAGCGGGTCCTGCTTCCTGGCTCACTCAGGCTGCCCTTGAAACAGCTGGCCAGGCCCCAGTTTGCACCCAGGTCTCCTTCCTCTGGGCTCCTGGAATCTTTCCTTGCCAGATGCAGGGCCTTGCAGCTCCTCAGGCACTGGCTGCCCATGAACCCACAAGACCACGCTGGCAGCCAGGAGTGGGCATGGAGAGGTTGGGTGTGGGGAGAGATAGGGCAAAGGCAGTAGCAGCCACAGGCCAGGGCCAGAAGCCCAGAAAGTCAATAAGAAGCACACTGCCTCGCTGTAGCCAGCCTGAGGTGAGCTTCAGTGCTGAGATGCCCCAGGAAGCCCATGTTTTCCTGTTCTGAGAGCAAAGGTCAAAGAGCTGCAGCCCACAGCCAAGGAAAATGGCCTCCCTGAACTGCCCTTCCCTTCCATTCTTCCCCCTCTCTCCTTTAATAAGAAGGGTGTTCCTTTCCTCAAAGGGAGAGAGAGGGAGGGAGGGAGAGAGAGACTGTAAACTGTCCAAAAGGACCGTGAGAAAACAGGAAGCTTTGAAAAGTACAAGAGAAAGCAAGATGAAATCTATTTGCAGGCTGGCCCCTGGGGACATGTGAGGCATTGTTAAGCAGGCAGTTCATACAGCTATATCCTTCCTTCTGCGGGAGGAGGCCTGTGTTGCCAAAAGGCTGCTATCTGGTCACTGCCTTAACCCCCTCTTCGCCAGCCCAAAAGCCTGACCCTAAGCGGTGGACCCCGCAGAGTCCCCCATGTGGTTTCTCCCCCTTGGAGCACCGCAGAGCTTGAGGGGAAACAGCCAGTTTGGCAGAAGAGGAAGTGGAGACCCTTTTCAGGGAGACCTCACCCCTCATCTAAAGGCTCTACCATCTGCTCCAGCCCTCTGCTATAGATGACCTGGTGATTCATAACTCAGGCAGCTCCCAGCTTCACCCATCTCAAAAGAGAATTTGTCCCGGAAATTCTGGATGCCTGCTTTTCCTGGACAGGTTTTCCAAAGACAGCAGCTGGTTCTTTGCTGTTATGGAGTGTGGCTGCTACAAGGATAGTGTCCAGATCAACCCGTATGCTTACGCAGAATCTGGGAAGTGTATTTCTGAAACATGGCTTCAGTCTACAGGCACAGGTCTCTGGACAAACTCCAGCTGGCTCCAAAAAGCAAGGAGTCCAGAGAAGCAAGGAGTCCAGAAGTCGAGTCAATAGCAAAAGAGCCCAGAAAGGCAGTGATTGTTTTTATGTAAGCAAAAAGAAACATAGACTGAAACCTTTCCTCTCCTCTAATATTCCATTCTATTGTTAATGCCTAATCCCACAGTTAGTGAATATTTCTGCTTGCTGGAGACAGCTGTTGCCACTGAGCACAGGGCCAGGGAGAACTATTTCATGCTACAACAGGGGAAGGATTTATATTGGAAGAGAATTTTAATGGTGAGAATCTCAAGAAATTTGAAAGTGTTACTAAAGAATCTTCCCTGTTCCAAGTTCTTGGGTAAAGGAGAGAGAGCTAGCTCACTTCTGGAGTGTGGCAGCAGCAAGGCCTGCCATAGCAAGCATGGGAAGAGAAAGCTCTTCCCTGGCACCATGACCAAGCTGGGGTTGAGTTCTCTGGGCTGGGCTCGTTCTCCAACATCGCTATTTGGCCAGCCAGCCATTTGTTTCTGATGGCTTTGAAATGCATAGCAATGAGCAACTGGCCTCCATCCCTCTCCCAACTTCCAAACCCCAACAACTTTCACACAGGGTCAGATTTCCAAGAATCCAGCACAACATAGATGGGAGGCCAGGTCCATGGGACACCATCTGGAGCTGGCTCATCCCTAAAGAGTTTAAAAACACTGGAAGCCTGTTGAATAATTTGGGAACTCAGACATGCTCTGAAAGTCTTTTGACATGAAAAAGGGTGGGAATACTTCCCAGGGATTTGTGACTTTTGAGGATGATCCGTCCAATTCCTGTGCCAGACCATCTTCCGTTGGGAAGTATGAACTGTGCATCATTTCAAAGCTAGAGAGGAATCACCTGGCAGTTTGTTTCTGGCACTTTCCAGGAGAGAGGGGACTATGGGTCCAGGTGACTGACACCCATTGTTGTTGTTTTAGAGATTTTAAGGAGAGAGAAAGGTCACCTTAATTGGACAAAAAATGCCCTTCCAATTGTTTCTGTCTAATAATATATAACACTCTCTACCTGGCCTTCTTGCTTATGGTGTAACCTCCTAAGAGTATGTGGCCATCAGAAGAAGTGCCTTTGTCTTACCAGTCCAATTCCTATGCCAGGCCCACCTCCCATTGGGAAGTATAGACTGTGTATGGTTTCAAAGCTGGCCTCCCACTTCACCCTCTCTCATGGGAACTGATGGTGTGGATCAGACATCCAGAGCCTAATCAACCCTCAGGGAGAGGCAAAATGGTGTTTGTGAGCCATCAGGCTGACATGGCACACCCTTGGGGTGGGGGGTGGTACACCGTAATGGGGTAGAGCGGGACACAACCATTCCTAAACAAGAGGCCTGGCATATCCAGCTAGGATGGCTCACTGCAACACTGGGCCCAGGCTGCGTTGCTCTGTGAGGTTTCTGTGTACCAGAAGTCTGTGTACCTCACATCTCAAAAGCCCTCATGTATCCCTCCACACCAGGAGTACTGTCTGCTGGGTTATACCACTACTGCTGCATGAGAATAGATGAGATGCAGGTGGGAAGCTGTTAGACTAGACCAGTATGGATTTTTTTTTAGGGGATAAATCAGGCAATGACTTGCTTCATGTTTTAACAACTTAACTTCAGAACAGTTGAAAAGATAAAAACATTATTCATGCTTGAAGCCCAAGAGTAAACACAGCCCAGGGAATAAAGAATGACAAAGAGACCCTGCCTGCACCTCCCCTGTAGGAGACAGTGAACCTCTGCAGGAGGGAATGATGCTCTGGAGTGAAGTGCTTTAGGGGTTCGGTGGAGTGGGAAGGAAATCAAAGAAGTGCCTGAAGAGAGAGAAGAACTGCTCTGTGGCCACGGCTGTCCTCTCAGGTGCATAGCACATAGCCCCCCACTCACAAGAATCCAGAGTTGACTTTGATGTTCTGACTTCACTGTCTTGCAATTCTTAACACTTTCTGAACAAGGGGCCTTGCATTTCCATTTCGCACTGGGCCTTGAAAAATCATGTAGCCTGTCCTGCGTACTGCTTCCTCTCCTTTCAGCTTAGCTGACTCAAGATGGACATAAATTGACTTTCAAACCACTGGGAACTTGGAGAAAAGGAAGGGAAACAGAAGTGGGTGGCAGGAAAAGGGCTGGGGGGAGAAACCTCCCTCTGCCGTGTCTGGACAATACCCATACCGTCTAGGGAAGCTCTGGTTCCTGACCCCTCACCCTGGCCAGGAGTTGCCAACACAGGAAAGGAGTCAACTTCATGGGGGGTTCCTTAAGAGGGGGCCACTCTGCAGAGGAATGAAAGCAACAACAGCCCCGGGAAACAGGGAACCCTACTTCAGGAATATGGACCTGGGAGAGCATCATTCAGACCCCACCCAACCCACAGTAACAGAGAGAAGGAAAACTTCCATTTCAAACAGAAGAGTGCTATAGATACCTAATGCAGCATTTCCCTCTTCTGGCTTCAGCCCCTTTTTTGTGACCAGGATGACACTTGTCCGTACAGTCCTTATGCTGCCCAATTATATGCAAGACTCCTCCTTTTAGAAGCAGAGAAGGAAACAGTGTTGGGTCTGGGGAAGCCTTGGGAAGCCTAAGAGCTCTGAGTAACACCAGTTAGTGCCTTGGGATGTCCAAATCTGCTCACACATTTCCTCCACTGATGATTAATTAATTAATCCAATACAGAAATTTTAACAAAGATGCTCGATCTCTGTGCTATGTGGCACTTGGGAATAAATGAAAAAGACTCTAGGTGACTATACTCTTAGCCAAAGCAAGCATTTCTGAGGTGCTTTGAAAGGCTACATTTGGCTACCTTTTTTGCCTCTGTGTAATATTTTTAATTGGAATGCAATGATTGTACACATTTATGAGATACAGTGTGACATTTGTATTCATCTATACAGTGTGTGATGATTAGTTCAGCATAATTAGTTCATAATCTCAAACAGTTTTCATCTCTTTGTATTGGGAACACTCAAAATCCTTTCTTCTGGCTATTTTGAAGTATACAATAAATTATTATTAATTATAGACATTTTACTGTGTTACACAATACTACAACTTACTCCCCCTAACTGTATTTTTGTATACAGGGAAAGAAACCTGCATGCCAGGACCACCCCTTTCATCCCCACTGGGAAGCCTCTCTTCAAATCAGAAGGTTCAGTTCCAAGCATGAGAAGGGGAGGAAGAGAAGTGGGAGAAAAGAGGGGGATTTTGTTGGAAGATTTTCTCACTCTTCTCTCTGTTCTACTCATTGGCTTGTAAGGTTTCTCCTCTACTTTGGGGCAGGAGTTCTCCACATTGGCTTCATCCTTAACCAATTCCACTCTCAAATGGCCCTTCCACCCTTAGACTTTCCCAGCTGCCTGGGCACTGATGCCACAGTGACACAAACAGGGTCAGTTCCTCAGGGACTGGCCACGGGCTGATGTAAGCACACGTGTGGTGGAAAGAGATGCTGGCAGACAGGACTTAGGGCTGCCCAGGGACCTACTCTGAGCCTCACTAGGCTGCTGATGAACCAGATTAGAAGGGTCTTTGGGAAATCCTCCCCACTGGAGATGTGCACAGCCCTGAACATGCGCACAACCCCAAGTCTGCCCTTTATGCCCACCTTGCATTTGAAAGGCTTCACATCTGAGTGGACGATCATATGTGCCTTGAGGGTCTGCTTCTGCACAAAGCTCTTGTAGCAAAGGTGACACTGGTAGGCGCGAATGTTGGTGTGAATTAGTACGTGTCTCTTCATGTTGGCCAGCAGGGTGAATTCTCGCCCACAGATCCCACACTTGTGCTCCTTCACGCCCTGCGAGGAGGCCAGAGTCAAGACATCTGTGGTTAATGGGAAGCAGACTTCCATGAGGGTTATAGACATTGTTTTCCTCCCCACTACATAATCCACAAAGAACGAAGTCAAGGTCCAAATGGTGTAGCTTTAGCCTTGTTATTATTTTCTTGAAAAGTGAGATTACATAATCTCCCCTCCCCTCTGAACACCATAGATTAGCCAGACCACTAGAGAAAAGGAGCTATTGCTTTTGTTGTTCCTACTGCCCACATAATTCTATAATAACAGTTTTAAAGGATTAATAGGGTTTGTTTAAGAGCACTGTGGATGGATATGCAAAGTGAACCTACAATCCAGCTTTCACAATAATGAGAAAACAAAATCTAAACTGATATTATTGTTTCCCACATCAAAATTGATGTCTCCTTGAGTTCTCATTAACAGACTTAAAAAATCCCAGAAGAACAACTTATCCTCACTTCAATGGATCACAACCTGGAAATCACCCTCTCCAGTTGGTCCCCTGGCTTCCCTCAAGCTTTAGTGAACAGTGTGTCATGGCTCCGGAGTCTTCTCTAACTGAGCTCCTTCTGATGGGGAAATGTGGTAGATGATAAACATCTGAATTAGAAAATAGAATAGGAGGTTATCTAGTTTCCTTGGCACCGATAGAAAAGTGTTTGAGTGCCTGAGCATCTATTCTCCCAGTGCAGAGCATTTCCAGGGACTCAGAGCTTGAGTAGAATATTAGCTAAATCTGAGTAATCAGTTCTTCCCTGAAAATGCCTGTTCAAGATGTCCTGATCCAGAACCACCTTGTTTTGTTTTGTTTTTGAGACAGGGTCTTGGTATGTTGCTCAGGCTGGTCTCAAACTCATGTGCTCAAATGATTCTCCCACCTCACCTTCTTGAGTTGCTGAGACATCAGGTGTGTGCCACCATGCTCAGCCAAAATACTGATGAAAAGGAAAACTTAGAGAACCATGGTACTGAAATGATTCTTACAGGACTAATTAGAACAAATTCCAAAAGGACAAACTTCAAAAAATCCATGTTGCCTGGAATCCGCAATGGCCTAAGGAAGAAAGGATTTATTCCAAGCTCCGTTCTGACTGCCTATATTTCCATTTATTTAATTTTTGGCATGGTAAGACAGTAACACTCTTTGGTTTTGGTGAGTCCATTGTACTAAAGGGTAGGTTCAGATCTCTGCCCAGCTATTTACTGGCTGTGAAACCCTGTCTAACCAGGTCCTTTCCTGGTGAAGACTTCTGTTCTCAAGATGAAGTGGTAGGTCTTAAGAACCCCGGACTTCTTTCTAGCTCAAACGCTTTCTCATCTTTGCAGATGAGCATGGATTTATACTAAAAAGAGATTTAAGAGTCAATCTCCTTCAAAAATTGAATTTTAATGTCCTCTAAGAAAATGAGTGTTTAAATTTATTGCATATTCAGTGAGTTTGAAACCAATAAAAATATTTTCTTGACAGGCTTTATATTTCACTATTGAATCTTTCTTCTCTCTAGATATTCACTGGGGCCAGGGATATGGCTCAGTGGCACAGCACATGCTTAGCATGGATGAAGCCCTTGATTTTATCTTAGAACACCCCCAACCCTGGGCTTGGCTATAATCCAGTTAATTTCTTAGAGAGAAAATTCTGTATCCAAAGACTCGCACATGGGCTGGTGTAAAAGGCAAGAGAATAGGAGCCTGACCATAACTTTGGAGCTATAAAGGAAGCTGCTGTGTCTGACAAGAACAGTAAAAGGACAGAGAGGGTGCCTATGGGGTGTTGGTTTGAGGAAGGGAAGGGGCTGGAAAAGGGACAGTCTTTGCGAGTTAAGTGTTTAGGACTCAGGTGCTGGCATCAGGGATTCCCTAGTGACCTTCCCACGCCTTGGTGTCTATATCTGCAAATTGGAGTCACTCTCAGAGTTGCTGAGAAATTAGTGTGGATCAAATGAGAAGTAAAGCACTGATCTCAGTAGAGCAAGTCTTCAATAAACTCTACCTGTCACTGTTGGCTGACACTTCTAATTACAGTGGATTTGTTTTCTAATTTAAACAAAACTTATTTCAGGTACCAGGCTGTTTCTTCTCATTTGGCTTCATTGTCTATTATCTTAGAGAATCTGTATGTTCTAAAGTGTACCTTTTGTACATGGGCAGGAACCCTTGAAATAAGTAAATGTTTCCCTTTGTGTCTTCATCTCAATCTACCTTTATTGATGACTCCTGCATTTGGCAGGCAACTCCCCTCAGATGGTATCTACTGGTGTCTTTTGTAGAGCAGGAGCTGTTTGTGCAGTGCCCACGGTGCAGTCCTACACTTCATCTCTGCTGCAGGGCAGAAAATGTCCTGTGTTGTGTTCTAACAAATGAAGCCTATTAGAGAAGAGCAGAAGTGTTTTCCTGGTTGGGAAAAGTCTTCCACTGACCTTTCAGAATTAAAGAATGTTGTAATGAGACTTTAGCTTGCTAGAATTCTTTCTTGCCAAGAAAACCACCAAGGTTAGGGGTAAAGATAGAGCTCAATGGGGCAGAACTCTCCTTTCCTGTAGCTCAAAGCAGACTCAAGTCAGCTCAGCCAGGACAAGGTTTCAGGATGCCACCAGGGCCTTGTTTAATTCAGCCTGAGTGACTCCAAGGTTTGCTTAAAAATGAAGCCAAATTTAGACCCTAGGGCCTGAGTATCTCCTTGAACACCTGAGCTCAGGGAAGATGAAACCAAAGCAAACAGAGAAGGATGCTTCCTCTTGCCTCCTACCATACCAACCACAGACTTCTGAACCCAGGCAGGCAGAACCTCAGCCCTGAGGGACTGTGCCCAACACTGCTCTGCTCAAGCCACCTGCGCATAAATCAGGCCTCAGAGTGGAGTAAGCAAGCAACTGGAAAGGTAGCTGAAAAGGCCAAGAGAATTCTCCAGGAGGCACTCACTGGCATAGGCCAGGCATGGAGGGGATAGGGTGTGGTGACATATTCATGCTGGTAGGACATACTCGTGCCTGGGTGAAGTTCTAGAAACAAAATTCCAGGGATTCTTGGGGGCTAGGCAGCAGCAACAGAGCAATCAGCACCATCACTGCCCACTCTCTTTTCTGCACATCATCCTTTCCTGCCAGGCCCACCTGACATGGGAGAGGGCTCCATTGATAGCCTATGGTCCCACCATTTGACGCTTCTCTAAGTGTGTGTGTGTGTGTGTGTGTGTGTGTGTGTGTGTGTGTACCCCGCCATACCTTGTGGGTGAGCGAGTGCTGCTTGAGGTGGTGAGGCTGCACAAACTCCATGCCGCACTCAGAGCAGATGTAGGGCCGGATGTCCTTATGCTTCATCATGTGGTTCTGCAGCTGGCTGGGGTACTGGAAGGTCTTGTTGCACTCGGAGCAGTTGTACTGGATGGGGCCCCGGTGCGTGGTGAGGTGCCTCTTCAGCTGGGCCAGTGTGGGGAAGTCGAGGCCGCACTCCACGCAGATATTCTCCCGCCCGCTCGCGTGCTTGGCTTCATGGGCCTTGAGCTCGCTGGGGTAGGCGAAGCCCCGGCCGCACACGCGGCAGTTGTGCGGCTTCACCTCACTGTGCTGCATCATGTGGCGCTTGAGGTGGCTGGTCTGGGTGAAGGCCTTGTGGCACACCTGGCACTTGTGGGGCCGCGTGCCCTGGTGCGTCAGCATGTGTGTGTGCAGATGGCTGAGCTGCTTGAAGAGCTTCCCGCAGCGGCTGCACGCGTGCGGCTTGATGCCGCTGTGGCCCAGGATGTGGGTCACCAGGTTGTACTTGGAGGTGTAGGACTTCTCGCAGGTGGGGCACTGCCAGCGCTTCTGCGCACCGCCCACGTCCACGTAGTAGCTGTCGTCGATCTGCACGTTCACGTCCACCCTCTCCACCTTCTGCTTGACCTCCTCGCTGTCGGGGGGCTCTGCTTTCCGCGGCAGCGGCGGCTCGGGGGGCTGCTTGGGCATGAAGGCGTGCCGGCCAAAGGGGAAGGGCGCGGTGCTGGGCACGAAGAACGGGAACACCAGGCCCGGGTGCACTTTGGGGTAGTAAGGGTAGGGCGCGGGCAGGAAAGGCGGGGGCGCCGGCTGGGGCCACAGGGCGCTGGGCTTGAGGGGCTCCTGCTTGACGGGCTTGCCCGCCAGCGGCTCCAGTGCGCGGTAGAACTGGAAGCCCACGTCGCACAGGTCGATCATCTGTGAGTCACACTTGGGGCGCGGAGGCTGCGGGAAGAGCAGAGGCAGGCTCGCGGGCCCGTGGGCTTTGCTCTCCTCCGAGGGGAGGCTGAGAGCCGCCTCTTCAGCAGCGTGGCTGTAGGGCATCTTGGTGGGCATGCTCTTCCGCTTGCGGGACCCGCCTCCTTCGAAGACCCCGGGGAATCCGTCCAGGTGTCCAGCTGGGGGTTCATAGCGAAACTGGGCAAATGGCCCCCGGAGGGCTTCCGGGAGGGGATGTCTCTGTGGCGCCTTCCCTCGGGAAGCCACGGGCTGTAGGCAGTGGGGAAAGGACGGGGTCCTCTTCACACCCAAGTTGAAACGCACATCCTCGTCTTTGGTGATCTTCATTTCCTTCTGCATCCTTGGCAATTTTCCTTTAAACAGAAACAGTCGTTGGTTGGCGTTTTTGTTTTGCTTTGTTTTTGAATTTTCCTTTCCCTTTGGGGGTCTGGTTACTGATCAGTACTAATTTACGGAAAGAGCAATACTTAATACTGGCCTTATTTAGGGCTGTTCACCATACCATTGTTCTTCCTTCCCTCGCACCCACTTCTCTTTTGGTACCGGGAATCGAATTTGGGTCTTTGCACTTGCGAAGCAGGCGGTGGAACCACTGAGCTAAATCCCCGGCCCAAAAGGGACCGAAGTGTTTGTTTTTAATTTTAATTTTAATTTTTTTGTACCCGGGATCGAACTTGGGCCCTTGCGCTTGTGAGGCAGGCGCCGGAACCGCTGAGCTGAAGCCCCGGTGTACCCACTTCTAATGTGGAAAGCACTCACTTCCTGCAGGGGGCCCCTACCCAGGGCTGAATCACAGTGGGCTCAATGTAAATCCAGCTACAGAACCATGGCGATAGGCAGTGCGCTTGTTTGCAAGGAAACCTGAGAACTCATCTGGTCCTTTTCCTGATTTAAGATGAGGTCCTAAGTGCCATAAAGATGAAATGACACCCTCAAGGTACACAGCTACTCAGAGGAGGAGTCTGAACTGGGGGCCTGTTCAGTCTGAGATTTAATTGCATCTGTTAATTAAATATGAATTCAATATGTCTTGTCAGATAGTTTCCACCGTAAGGAAACCAATTTTCACTACTCTTGCCTTACCTGGGCCTCTGCTGAGGAGGGTGGGGACATTCAAGGTCATGAAGGGGAAGGGACTTTAATGCTGATCTCAGAATTAATGTTTCCGGGTATCCATTCTGAGCAAGGTGTGCTACTGAGGTGCACCAAGTGGACAAAATTGATATGACTGAGAAAAACTGGGAAAACCACATTATAAAGTCATTTTGACAATGTATATGTTCTAATATTCAGCCAGAATCAACTTGAGGGGGAAATTTCCAAGGTTATGAATCACTAAACCAAAACTTGGGTCTCTCTCTTCATGCAGACGTCAAAGGGAAAGGCAGCTTTTGGTGACTCCTGTGGCACCTGACTATTGTCCTGCGGAGCCAGCTACTGCATCCTGGTGACAATGGGGCATGTCAGGAAGAACCTATTGGGAGAAATCTGGGCCAAAAGCATGTTTCCTTTCACAGGTCTCCTGGATGTTTTTCTATTTCCCTCACCTGGATGCTGATAGAAGGATCCAGTTGCTGTCTTTTCTACCCAAGTCTTCTGAGTTTGCCTGGTTCCTTTGCTCAGCGGAGGCTGCCACAGTTGGCATAGCAAAGTATAAGGTCTAACTGAGTGAACTCAGGGCTCTGGCCTGGGATGGCTACAAACCAAACCGTACAGGGAGAGGTTCTGGGGTGAGAGGGCCAGCAAAGTCCATGATTTGTTACAGTCCTGGTGAGGCAGATGCAGTTTGTAAAAGGATCAAGATATTCCCAAACTGCATGTGTGTTTTGTTGAGAGGGCTGAGAACTGTAGCATAATTGAAGGAAAAAAGTCATTTTAATATTTGGTTACCAAGTGCAGATACAAACAACTCAACTGAGAGGGGAAATGCATGTTCCTATTATGAGAGTATTTGGGCATTATTTAAAGCTGTTCTGTGAACTGGTTGGAGAACTAAAATAATAATATCTATTAATACTCACTTTGTGTTTATGCGAGTGAGATGTTCTCAGCCTGTTGTTCATTCCTTGGATTTGGGCTTTAGTAATAAAGAGCAAGAGCTTGCATGCCCAGTAAGTGGGAGGTTCAGCTTGTGTCCTGTCTTTGCTTCCTCCTCAAACTCTTACCACAATGTGAGATCTTTCCCCACTACTGCCTTGGGCATTTGTAGGAAGTGAAGAGGGCAGTAGCAGAGGGCAGGCCCAGCTTTACAAGACTAGAGAGGTGTGGGTGGGTGACAAAAGGAGAGGACTGGCACAGCAGAGGCGTTTTGATGGCTGCCTGTGTTTACCAGGTGGTCTCCTGGCTTGAGGTGTATGCAGCAGGTCCTGACCACTACACTCACATACAGTTATACAGGGTGGGGATCTCCTCCAAGAATTCGTTGCGTCTATAAAAATAATTGGCTTTCAGACAAGGTTAAATGTGTTCAATGGGAGAGAAAATTGCAGAACCTTTCTCTGGCATTTCATTTTAGCCAGAGTTGATTTTATAGTCTCATGAAGATAGATTTCTTTTGCAGAAAAGCCTGCTCAGACTGGAAAAGCCTTCTAGGGTGAGTGCCTGTCACTGTCACAGCTGAGCCCATCCAAAAGCAAACTGGTTCTGTTTTATATTTATATGATTAAAAGAAACAAGTCCTAGTTCATATGAGGAGTAACATTCCTAACCAAAAGCTAAGCCCAAAGGCATGTTTATTTTCAGTGTTTCCACTTTAATCACTATCAACCTAGTAAAGCAAAGAAACACTGTTGAACAGAGATGGTTTTTTAAAAACATAAATGGCACAGGGCAATTTCTTGTTGTGTCCCCAGTGCAATGACTTCACATGTGTATTCTAATCCCTTACTTTTTAAATTTCATAAAATCAATTTTGCCCAGTTTCTGCCTGGCTATCCTCTTACCCCCAGAATAGCCTGTGCACCATGGAATAAAATCAGTAACCCAAAGAGATTTTAAAGAGCTTGGAATCCACCCACTGCCATTTGAATAGATCTTTAAGAGAGCTTTCCCTCCTACAGAAGAATCTTTAGGAACATTGCCAACCTCAAGGAGAGGTCAAGGAAAAGAGGGGAGGGAGGGAGGGAGGGAGAGAAAGAGAGAGATCGAGAGAGAGAAAGAGAATATGAATCTGCTTCTCCCACTGGCCTTCTTCCTGGCGAAAAATCAAGTGTAGCTGCCGCTAGCTATTAATATCCCTGTCTTTGAGCACCAGTGGATAAGGACAAGCCCTAGGGGGCAGAACAACAACAAAGTCCAGGAAACCACCTATACTGGGGATAGGGAATGTTCAAGGGAAGAGTAAGGCAAAGGTGTCTTCCTTAGGAGCTAATTTATCTTGAAATCAGTCAAGTTAAAATTCTGGGTGTCTCCACAAAATGTATTAATAGACTCCTAGAAAATCTCCATGTGTACCACCCATGTGCTCCCTTTCATTTCTAAAAATAGACTGGCAGCGATCAATGACAGCTACAGGATTCTTGTGTCGGAGGCGGGAGAGGGGTGGGACAGCAATCTGGCTGAGATGTTCAAACTGGGGACAGGCTGGAGTGGGAGGGGAGCAGCTCCAAGCCCTGTCCCATCAGTGGCTGCTTCTAGAGCCCCTGGAGAAAACCAGCAGGTTGTAAGACAGTTTTCCACCAGCACAGGGTGTTGAAACAACATGCAGAAAGAAAGAGGAACTGAAATTTTAGAAGCACATAGCTTTGGACAGGTTTGAAGTCTGAGGGTCTGGGCTTGAATGTTGGCTTTGGGTTAGCAGTTGTGGGGGATTGATCAAATTAATTTTGAGGTCTGAAGGGCCTGGATTTAGCTCAGTGGTACTGCCGGCTGCCTGGCAAGTGCAAGGCCTGGAGTTCGAGCCCCAGGACCAAAAAGAAAAAAAAATTTTGAAGTCTGATGTTCTCGTCCATGAAATGGGAGTCTGAATATTCCTTTAGGGTGATTGGAAACTTAAAATAGCATGTGTGTGACAGAATGTATTAAACACTAGACAGTGCAGTGGCCTTGATGGGTAAGACAGAGTGGACAGAAGGAAAGGGCTGGGGTCAGGGTTCAGAGAATTGATGCTGGCATCATCTCTATTTACTGAAATGAGACTGTTGGTCACCAGTGACTGGCATCTGAGCTTCTGCTCTGCAAGTTCAAAACCAAGGTTTTACCCATTTGCCCTGAGTTGGTCTTGTCACAGCACTGAAGGTAAATACAAAGAGGCCAATGACTTTATTCATTCTGTGTGCAGATAAACTTTCTAGCTTAAGGCTACTCCCTCATCCCTCCTCCATACTCCCATTCCTGTGATGAAAGTATCTTTCTGTCCACATTAATAACAGATTCTTTGGGGAATGAGGAGTTGAAGCAAAGGGGATTGGCTGCTCTTGTGTGTGAGAAGCTAAAGAATTGCCCCTAATCTAATATTGCAGGTCATTTTCCTAGGGACAGGAGGATCTATCTGTGAAACTCAAAGTCTCAGACACAGGGATAGTGTTTTGGATCAATACTGGCAAACCAGCACTTGCAATTACTGGTAGACTTTAAAGACAGGGATTGAGTCTATTTAATTCTCTTCTGCATCCCCAGGCCCTAGCATGTGCCTGCTTTGGGGTGAGAGAAGAAATGAATGGTTCGCTGGGGATTTAGCTCAGTGGTTTCACCGCCTGCTGCGCAAGCGCAAGGACCCGAGTTTGATCCCCAGTACCAAAAAAAGAGAAATGAATGGTTCTTGTTTTTAAAGTTTCCATATGAAACATTAAAATAAATAGTTTATCTTAAATTGTTTAGAATGAGGATGTCTTTGGTATAATTCTAATCAGATTATCAGCATCCTCCTAAGTTCTTGTGTAGTTACTGTAGAGAGTACTTGGTACATACACCTCATGTGAGCTGTTGCTCTTTGATTTTCAAGGACACTATTCTCTTACTCACTTTCCAATTCAGAAAGCCCTAAATCCTGCTTACATTAAGGCCGAGGAGCCATTCTCAAAGTGTCAAAAGGTTCTGCAACCCAGCCAGAAAACAGATTCTTGAAAAGTCCAAAGGGCAGAAGGGTTAGACAGAAAGACTTCTGAATTGAGAATGAGAACTGTAAGCCAAGAGTTGTGGTCACCCTGCATTCTTCCACACTAAAGAATTTAGTCTACCTGAAGAATTTAGTCTACCCTTTATGCTAATGAAGGGGAGAAGGCTCTAGAAGAATTATACATTTTCATTGCTATGGTCAGAGAATGTTCTAAAGTCCCTGGCCTTCTATGATATCCACCTACTCAGTCACGGAACCCAAAAGGCTATAAATGAGTTAAGGAAGAAAATATTGGGT